TTGTCTCAGACAAGTATTATTAGCTGACAAGAAATATGGCGTCCCTCACCTACTACAGTAAACAAACAAAAAGAAAATCCCCACCTCTTAATCACTACTAGACAGCCTCTAGACAATATACTCCTGCAAGGAACTGCAAGTGAAAGGATTGGATGCCACTTTGTTAATGGAATTTAAAGAACAGATTGTCAGGCATACCAGGATTTTCAGATGTATTTCTGAATTCACATCTGTGGGAGTTGTGGATTGTCACAGTTCATTTGCTTTTGTAAAATATCCACAATTTGCTGACAAGCAACTTCAAAAGTCCATTCATCGATTGGATGGTGGACTCTTTTCAGCATTTTTTTAATGTGTTCTTTTCCTACAGTAATGTAGAGCTGTTGAAAAAGAAAGAGAGAGAGAGAGAGAGAGAGGACTGATGCGAAAATAAATATTAAAATATAAAATACTTCATACAAAGTAATCCAATGTGCCATTAGTTGTACAATATTTCAAAAAGCAAATACATGTTTATAAAGCAGAATCAGCAATATAAATACTTTTGATTACAGAACTTGTGAGCACCTTGACTCCATATGTGTTAAATCCTTTGGGAAGTGCCTTTTTTGTTTTTTTGGTTTATGTTAAAACCTTGCACAGACTCTTACAATAACAGTTTGTTTTCATTAATTATACAGGGAGTCACAGAATTACAGTGTGAGACATTTTACATCACTGAAGACTGCAGATAAAAATAATTCTAAGTACTATAATTTGTTTTAAAATTTAAGAGCCGAGTACTGTACCTCAGTCAATAGAACAGGTTATTATAAAAAAAAAAAAGTAGCCAGATTGCCAATGCAAAAGAATGCTTGAAACAGCTAAAATTTCTCATAGAAGGGTACAGCCAAATAAAGCTGCATTTTCTTATAGCATGCCAAAAATGGGACCTTGATGAAGACCTACACAGTGCATAATTTCCTTTAAAGTTCCTTTAAGCAGTCTTGTGTTATAAGTACAATTAAAAGTCCATCAGTATCCCAAGTACTCATGCATTATCTACCCTGCCACACTTCGCTAATACGTCTTATCATTTAGGGTGTTAATACTGTTCAGTGTAAAGACAGTCTTTCTGAGGTAGACTGTTCAGGTTCAAGGACAAGTCTTTTTCTTACGAAATGCATGACATTCAAAAAAAGACAACAAATAAATACTACATGTACAATATGTAGCAATGAGGTAGCAATGGTTTTAAAGAACAAAGGTCTGAATACACATCTGATGAAAAAAATATTTTTTAAAAAGCAAATGAAAAGTTTCTAGTGACTGTATATAAATCACAAGTACAAACAACAAAACAGAAAATAGAAAAAAAAACTCCACAAAGTTTAGGTTTGGAAATAATCTTTTTCTTCTTTTTTTTCTATTATAAGACAACAAGAAGGAATGAATTTGCTCCCAACCTTGGTGTAGTACAGAAGCATTTTATAAATATTTAACATTCTATAGGCCTGATTCATATATTCTCACACAACTCTGTGGCAAGGCTGACCCACACTGCCGACATTCTACATATCACCGAGACAGGGAGGTGAAATTTTCCTGCTTTCAGTCTAATTGTCTTTGACAATTGCAGTGCCTAGTGCTACACTGCTTGTGTTGTATTTAAAAACAGGGGAAAGAGTAGAGACTTGTTCATTAAAGATGCAGTATCCCTGGTTCACAAAAATGCATCTGGCAGGTTCAAAATCGAATGTCAACCAAAGGTCTTTGCTGAGTATGAGCTTCAGTTCATGTATTGGTTAGTCACCAGTACAGCTGGGGTTTTTTTGTTTGTTTTTTGAATTTTGAAATACTAATAGCGCCATGGTTATGAATGTGTTTCACATAATTCTGCAGGCAATTAAACAAAAAGAAAGTTTTTACTTCTCAAAGGAAAGAGACAAAAATATTACTTGGACTTGGTGTGTATGTACATATAAATATTATATACACATATGCACACATACAAAATGAAAAGGAGTTAGTGCTGTAAATAGAATGTATGTTAGCTTGCAGATCTGATGATGAAAACCAACAGACACAGCTTATACATTTTGGAGTTCACTTCTCTCCTGGGTGAAAATCAGGAGTAAACTCTACTGAAGTCATTGGGGTTATAGCAATTTCACACTGGTGTAAGTGAAAGGAGAATTTTAGAAGTTTATTTCAGTGGCCTCATTTTACAATGACATGTATCCTTTAATTTTATAAAATATATGCTAGCTGATGATATACTGGTTAAGAAGAAACACATGGGCTTATACCTAGAGCTGAATGTATTTTCAGACAGTGGAAACCCTGTATGGATTCCAAAGTTTGCTTTTGACATGTAAATATATTGAAGTTTACAAAACAGCTATTGGAATAATTTGGAGTTTTACACTACATTATTTTCTTTTGAAAACTGCATAGCAAAGTACTATGCAAACCCATGTACTATTTTACAGAGCGTAGCCTCTGGGCAGCTGGCATCGCTTGCCCAGACACTGTTTGGCCTATGTAGTTTAGTGGAATGGTTTATTTTTTCCTTCATGGATTTGAAACACACAAGAAAACATGTTGTCCCTTCTATCTGCAGTTGAGTGGAATACAAACTAATAGATAAATATTCTGTGTGAAAGAAAATAGCCTTAAAGTAAACTGCCTTCACATTCCATTGATCAGCTCAGTCAGCAAACTTTTCAATATTGTCACTAATGTTCTAAATATTTTGGAGAGAGGCATGCCAGAAGTGTAGAGTATTTCCATTTGTCTCTCACATAAGGTCATTATAAAAAAACCCTTGAATTGATATTGATCCTTCAGCTTGCAGAAATATTCATCCACTTTATTTTGTTGTTGTTGCTATTAGAATTGTTACTGCAGCGGCAGAGAAGTGCATAAGCTGATGTAAAATAGTCTTCTCAGTTATCAATACTACAAGCAGACATGATGGGCAAAGTTCTATGCCGATAGGCTGACATACCTGTCATTCATTAATTATCTTACCCCAAATTCCCTAAAATCCAAGAAAGCCCCAGTACTTTTATGTCTGGCTGCTATTTTCTTATGCACTTCAGTAGCTCCATCACCACCCACCACCAGCTATGACCAATTGCAACAGACAGCAAACAGCTTCCTGCAAAAGCTCTTTCAAAAACTAGCAAATATTGCAGCCTGAGGAAGTTGATTGTCTTCCCCGCCCAAAAATGATCTTAACCTTTGTGACATATCCAAGTTCCTGAGAGCTCAAGCCCTGGGGATTGCTTCATTCCTGCTGGGACACTCATGGCTGGAAGTCTGCCTACAGGGGATCAGAGCCACACAAGGCGTGCACAACCCTATTTAACCAGAGGGGCCTAGAAATCGCCAGTTCAGCCCTAAATTTTGTCAAGGGAGAAGATGTAGCCTGAACACACTGGAGAAGGGCTGGCTGAGTGTATTTTCCAAGGAACTTCCCCTGACAGAGCTCTGACCATGTTTTAAAGTTGCCCTGTCTAAGCAACAGAGGGTCCTGTGGCACCTTTAAGACTAACAGAAGTATTGGAGCATAAGCTTTCGTGGGTGAATGCCCACTTCATCAGACACAAGTCTCTCTAACAAGACTTCCAAGGAAGGGCAGAGTTGCAAGAAAAACTACCCTTTCTTGGGAGAAGGGTGAATCCATCACCTCCTAGCCCCAGGTGCAGCTGCTAGACGTGGGGTGAAATTTCCAGCCTTCCGTGCCTGCAGGGTTGAATCAAGCCCCTGGAATCTGAGCTTGTGGCATTCACATCTTCCCATTGTCTTTTCTGCCTGCCTGTCATGTTCATTAAGATACATTTCAGCAGTCAGTTTCTCAAGAGTGTATTTTTATAGATAATGATTTAAAGCTGGAAGCCAAAATGAGTATCTATAATTTCATTTAATTGTGTTTTAGGTAAAAGGTGGGGGAAAATACACTCGTGCAGTCCAGAATTTGGCATTACTTTTACTAGTCACAAAAAACTGTTAATATTAGGGATTTATCATAAGTGGTTTAAACAAGAGTTGGTTTGTCAAAAGTTGCCTGAACCTTTCAGATGAGCACAGCTTGACGGCAAACATGAAATATAATGTCTAAGACAGAAAATGGGTCAGCAACCCGCAATAGTAAAACTTGTCAGTGAGATCAATATGAACCTACAGCTAATGGGGATATCAGAATTTACCAACATTAAGGAAGGTAAAATGGCAGAAGAGGGGTCAGAAGAATGATTGTGTATGTTAGTCACTTGTTGAAAAAGCAGGTGGTGTATTTAAGTCTTTCTGTATCCTTAATGAAAGGCACTGTTTTAAAAATGGTACTTTCATGTTTAAAACATAAACTTTAGATTGTTAGATTGACATAATGTTTGCCAGGAATTAAATTTTGGTTTATTTGCTCTGGTTTATCTATATATTAAAAGAAAGGTAAAGGAAAGCAGTAATCAAGAATCAAATTCCCAGTGATATCATGAAATCCCTCATTAGCTTTCTAAATGCTAAAAGTTTCAATTGATTTAATGTAAAGAATGAGATTGTATAATTTTTGTTTGTTTGTTTAAAGAAGACAAACATGATCTGGTAACAGATTGGTATCTCTCTTCTTGGGGCTTTTCAGTGCATTTATTTAATGTTTTTGAATGTACATTACTTAACAGAAACATTAAATGCCAGTGCTTTGCAACAGTTTTGTTACTGTCTCTTTAAAGTAAAACAAAACAAAAAAATACATTCCAAAAAAAAAAAAAAAGACAAAGGCTGTTCTGCTCATGCAGTGGCAGAGGCAGCTGCAGCATACTCTGCTCCTGTTCAGAGACATTACCCAACATCAGTCAGCTGTCATGAAAAGAGTTGCACATAAAGCATTAAAGGATAAAAAGAAAGACACTGTGGGGCGGGGGAAGAATTGAGCAAAATGCCACACATGCCAGCTAGTCTTTCCAGAAGGAAGACTCTGTAGTATGTGTAGTGGGGGGAGGAGAGAAAGGAGAGCGTGTAAGGTACAGAGAGAAACTTGACTTGAGGGAAAACAGCAGCTCTCTGAAACTCGTTGAGCAGGTTAGCATTCCTAATGAAATCTGACTTTTTTTTTTTTTGCCCTATTTCTTACTTTGCTTTTCAAGAGAAATGTAACAAAACTGAGGTAGAAATAATGGTGGGCACAATCCAGCCTGGAAGATTTCTAACAGATACTAAATGAAGTTTTCAGTAAGGACAATGGAGCCATATGTATACAATAAAAACTAAACTTTACAGTTTGCGAGGGGAACAAATGTACTTTGAGGGTTCAGTTTTGCTTTGTTATTTGTATTGTTTGGTCACAGTCTACTGCATTGCTATGAACAGCCCTGCAACTGAGCTTGCCAGTGACCTACAATGGTTCCATTCCCTGCAGCCTTACCGAAATAAGCACAAAACTACAACTAAAACCAAGAAATAAAAGGCCAGCAGTCATAGTTTAAGGGAATTTGTTTCTCGGAGTTCTACCAAATCTCATGTTTAACTGTTCCAGATGCTAATATAAACTGATTAAGTGGCTCTCTTTTCATCTCGGCACCTTCTAAAGACAGTATCGCATAATTATCAAGGAGCAAGATACTAAATACTCTTCCAGTTTACTGACATGAAGAGAATTATTCTGCTCTGGTCTGATCCCCAAAATTGGCAAAAGACCCATTTCTTAACACTGGGAAATCCTTCTGTTTCTACTTTAAAATTGTAAAGATTCAGTCATATCACACTTCAGTATTTTCCTGGATACATTCAAAGTAATTTCCTTGCCATTTTCCAATTGTTGAGGTAAACATACATATTTAATATAAAGTAACATTGAAGCCTAGCCTATAACTCTCAGCAGTACATAGTGCTTTCAACACATTCCTTTGAGGTACTGTACAAATCACAATCACTTTCCTGAGTTTTTGCAGACAGAACATTAAAAGAAATGAACTGCAGAAATTAAGGTCCAGATTACCGTTACCCTGTTTTACCTGTTCTTAGTTTAATACTGCAGAACAGACAGGATTGAGGAATACTGTTGCTCTTAGAATAGCAAAAATCTGGTTCTCTGTCGCAACACAACCGTTCATCTCTTTAGTCCAATAATGTTTGAAGTTAAAGCTCTTTATATTAGCACATGCCACCAATGTAATTGTGAGGCAAACAAAAAATAAAGCACCACTTCAGGCACTTGACAGCAACTAAATCTCAAGAACAGCAGAATGGAATCAACACACAGGGTTCATGTCCTTCTGAAATCAACCCACTTGCACCTTGCTCCTTGGTGAGTGTTGTCTAGCTTGAACAGAACTGAGCATCAACATACGCTTTCTGTCATGTGTGGTTTTTCAGATCAACAGCTCTTGTTTGATGCACTTTTCCTTCAAGTCTACCCTGACTCTTTAGATGCAAGGTAATTGTAATCTTCCCAGTACCCTTTGCAATTTTAACACTACTGAAAAGGGGTTCTATACCCTATGTAGCAGGTTGTGTGTGTGCCAACATTCATTTCAATTTTTTTTTTAAGAAGTATCACTGACTGCAACCAAACATTTTGTTCCATTCAACATATGTATCAAGCTCTTTTTGAGATATGCTAGGCTGTATCTTGCAGAAAGCATTTTCAAAGTCTTGATATGTAACTGGCCGCAGCTGGCTGGGTATAATGGCTGAAAGGTCTGTGGCTGGCATGGCATGGAGGGGGCCTACCACTGCTTCCTGACACAAATGAGCCACGTCCAGTCCAGAAAAGCCTTCTGTGCGCTGGACAAGCAGTGCAACCTCCTTGTCATTGAGACAGTAATTGTGCTGTGAGAGCAGTTGTACTATTATCTGGTGCCGCGCTGTGCTGTCAGGAAGTGGGATTAAAAGTCGTTTCATGAAGTACCTTCGAAGAGATTCATCTATTTCTTCTGGTTTACTTGTGGAGCAAATTACTACTATTTGGTCCTCAGCAGAAGTCAGAACAGTGTCCAGCTGCATAAGGAACTCGGTTCTCATTCGACTTACTGGACTGTGTTCTTCACTCACTTGAGATGAAAGAAGCATATCAATGTCACTAACAAAAATCACTGAAGGCTGGCGACACCTTGCCACGAGGAAGGAAGCGTGAACAATTTTTTCTCCTTCCCCTAACCACTTTGTGACAAGCCCAGAGCCAGTGATTTTGAAAAACGTGGCTCCTAGCTGACTAGCTATACATCTACCCATTAATGTTTTGCCTGTTCCCCGAGGTCCAAATAAAAGGATGCTCCGAGGTAGAGCAGTCAGTCCATTGAATGCATCTGACCTCAACACTGGCCATAAAACCTCCTCTTTAATGACTGCCTTTACCAAATCTAGGCCAGCAATGTCATTCCAGTCCACAGGAGGTCCTTGGTTGATAATCTCATTGGTTACAAGGTCAATGAGGTGTGTGTCAGTATTCTTCAGTTGCTCGTCCACAGAGTGGTTGGATGAGGTAGCTGCACGAAGTCCCGGGCCTTGCATTGGGTGAGGGAGGAGCTGCCTGTGCTCATCCCCATGGTCGTTCATTACTGGGGAGGTGTACTTCCCAAAAGATTCACTTGTTCTTGATCCCAATGAATTTTTTGCAGTACTATAGGAAGGGGGTGTCAGAGCCCTGCTGGACTGACTGCTGAATTTCCTTTGCTGCTCAGAGGACATTAGCTGCTTTGTTGGCTTAAATGCTAAGGATGATGTTTCAGCACTTCTGTCAAAGCCATTCCCCCTGTTTGCATTTGAAATGCTGTTGTCGGGCATTCTATACATGGGACTCTGTGTAGATCTCTGTTGGCCATAGCTGTAATTTCCATAACTGGAGTCCATTTCTCCTTGCCCTGCCATATAGAAAGCTTTCCTTTTGAGAGAACTTGCAGAACTGTTTGTCAGAGCCGATGGTGCAATTGGCGTCAAACCGTGACTCTGGTAGGTGTAGCCAGGTACAGTGGTAGGGGGGAGAGGAGTAGGAGCAGGAATTCCTGAAGGCAGGTATGCTGAGGGAGGTGGGGCACCACCAGGGCTGTACCCAGGCCCAACAGCAGTTTGAGGAGGATAACTAGCAGATGGGTAGCTATAACTGGAGAGGTTAGAAGTCCCATTGTAGCCTGGGACTAGGGCTGGTGGCGGCGGTGGTGGCGGCTGTAAGAGGCCAGAGCTATGCAAAGGGGATGGATGAGGTGATGGAAGTGCAGGTGCTGGCTGGCCACTGTAACTAGTATGTAAATAAGATCCATTGTATCCTGTGGCATATTCCTGAGATGGGAGCCCTGAATGAAGACTAGGTACTGTATGACTTCCGCAGGTACTACTAGAATAACTAGGTTCTGTCAGGTTACTGGCCACCCCAGGTGAGCTCCCTATACTGGCAGAGACATCTGCTGGAGGGAGGGCTGCACTTACTCCAGCTTTGCTGGCAGTAATAACGTCCGGGACACAGTTCATAGGATAAACACTCTCTGAGTTCAAAGAAGGCTGCCAGGGTTCATTTTCATTCTTCCGACCATTCACCAGTGCTGACGGAGCTTCAGAATAGTTACTAAGGATGGGTCGGTCGGCTGGGCCTTCTAAAATACCAGAATACTTTTCTGCATATTTTTTCAATAGATTAGAGGCAGTCAGAGCAGAGATGTCATCATTGGCCCAGGCATACTGGTAGGTGCGCTGCAGATGTCCACGGTATGCTTCCACCTTGTGAGCAGGAGACCGGGTAGTTGAAGTGATATCAAAGTGCTGTTCTGGCCACTGGGCATGCTCCGGCGTCCACTGCATCTTCAAGCCTAGGGTGGGGGGAAAACACAATTAACAGTGGTCTGAGCCATTTTCAGATGCTCTGAAAATGAATTTTTAACAGTATCTGTTTACATTTTTTTAGTTACCTGCATAGTGACAACTGTATTTATACTATAGATTAAAAACAATAAAATCACACTACGCATGCAATTGAATGTCTTTGTAATACACTATCAATAGTCAGATTTGTTTAATATAGACACACACACAGAGCCATACTTTTGCTAATTTAGATGGGGGGGAAATATTTATTTTCTTAAAGCCAGATTACTTAACGTAATTAAACAAGACCCAATACATTTTAAGTACCCAGAGTGTGGATTTTTGTTGTTAACAAGAAGATACCAAACTGTTCTGTCTTCTCTTATCACAGTTTCAGTTTTATATTTTAACCAATATAAAAATATGAGACACAGCTGACAGATCACATCTAGGATACCTCTCTTATTTGGTACTGAACACCTAGTTAGCACAGTATAATGCACCCTGCGCAGAACAATATGACACAGACATAGCAGGTCATTCCATAATCCAACTCTCATCTAAAGTGGTCCACGACAGTTTCAAATCTGCTTCGTGGAGTGCAGCAAAGCAATCTCCCAGGCAGCGCTCCGTCGCTTTCATCACACAAAGCTTACAACTCGGTATGAATTACAACTGGCTCCTTTCTGCCTCTCAGTTCTGTTGTTGAGGCTCTGGGAAAAAAAAACAAGCATCACTTGTCTGTCGGTCTCCTTGCCTGTTTTTTCTTTTTTTCCCCCCTCAGAGCCTCCAGGGTACCGAAAAAAGAAAAGAAATGCAGTCTAGCCCCTAAAAGTTCTGTGACACACACTGCTGGCTATCAGCCCTGTCACTACAGTAAACTAAGTAACAAAATGTGACTGTATGACTATCCCTTTAAAGCAATTAATCTTGCAAATAATGGGATGATTTTTTTAATCCAACATACGCACTAAGAGCAATTTACAAGTATTATAATAACCCCTCCACCTCTTACCTGTGCATGGTAGACCGTTCCTGATTTTTGTACAGCTGTATCAAATAGGCCTCCTTAATCTCTCTCGTATTACCAAAAGTGATTTTTGCAAACAGTCTTGCGCCCTCTGGCACAGATTCCCTGATAAGGAGGAGGCCTACTCTAAATGAAGCATCTGTGGCACTAGCTCCCTTCTGAATCATTGTGGTCTATTTTGACAGCTTCTAC